ACAGTGGGAGGGCTTCTGGCGTTCTGGCCCTGCCAGTGGACCTCCTGATGGCACCTGGGTTTTGGCCCCCGTGTGACAGAGTGTCGGACTGGATGGGCCATTGGCCTGGTCCGACAGGGTTTCTCTTATGTTCTCTGATGTTCCAAGTCGCTGTGGATGGGGAGGGTTGTGGCAATTCCAAGAAAGACATAATGGTGGAGAGGAAAGAATCTGTGGTGTCTAGATTTAAGGTTGCACTGAATGAGAATGTTTTTGGGGGTAAAAATGAAGCCTTTGTAGGTCTGAAACGTTGATTGCTGAACCTTCGCTCACCTGGTTTGCATCAAATGCTTTTGCTTCAGCTCTAGTGGTTTTTCTAAAAATGAACTTTCTAGAGATGATGGTGTGCTACATAGCCAGTCATATTGGGGTGCACAATGACATCATAGTTACATCACCGATTATGCTTCCTGCATGCCGTTTGCCAGTCACTGAAGAGGGTACACTTTCTCAAGGGGTGAAATAGGCTTGCCAACCTGCAGCTGGGGCCTGGAGATCTTCCAGAATTACAACTGATCTCCAGATTACAGAGATCAATTCGTCTGGGGTAAAGGGCTGCTTGAGGGGTGAACTCTATGGTCTTGTACCCCACGGATGTCCTTCCACAGGCTCCACCCCTCAAATTTCCAGGTATTTTCCAACCTGGAGTTGGCAACCCTAGTGAAGAATATTCGTACAAAATAATCCCTTGTTCACTTTAGCCCAATTTAGGTTTCATTCACACCAGGGATCTCAGAATGGCCTGTGATATATAGCTATGCCTGTATGTGATGCCTGCTTTAAAAAAAACCCAACAGAATTCTGTACCAATGTAGCTCAAGCTCAGTACTAAAATACTCTGAATTCTTCAAACTAAGTACCTATAAAGATCCCTGCTGGATCAGACCAGTGAGGGTCCATCTAGTCCAGCATCCTGCCCCACACAGTGGCCAACCAGTTCCCTCAAGAGGTGCAACAACAGGGCAAAGAGGCGGAGGCTTTTTTCCCTTATGTTGCCTCTCGGCACTGGGATTCAAAGATTTGATGCCTCTGGATGCGGAAGTTCAAATGTAAAAGGGAGCTAACCTGAATAAGATGAGAACGTTAATCTTAATATCTTAGTTTGTGTACGGCAGTGAAGTCTCGTCTGCCTAACACTAAAATTCTACTAAGCTCCACCAATGTTCCCTCTAAGCTGTGGAGTCTTTTGAGCAAAAATCCTACTTTGTGAGCTGCTGGCATTAAAGTTGTGAGCGAGTGATTTGGCTCCTGCATAAATGAGTTTGCTCTGGAGCCCTCCTTCCTGAGCTGAGACAAAAATGTGTGAGCCGGAGGCTAAAAAACTGTGAGCTAGCTCACACTAACTCAGCTTAGAGGGAACACTGGCTGCTCCACTCTGGCTTTGGAGAGCTCACTGTGCACCGTCATAACACTTTCCAAGCTTATCTCCATGACCATGAGCCCTAACAACCTTTTTTTTTTAAAAAATAATAATGAACCTTAGAGAATGCTAAATTTATATTCCATATCAAATTATGCAGCTTTCCCATGCTTGTGCAGAATTGCTGTGCTCGCATTGTAAGCTTCCTACAACCTGGTTGCCCTGACCCAGGTAGCCAAGGGTAGCCAGCTAAGCGGGGTCAGCTCTGATTAGGATTTCGATAGGAGGCCACCAAGGAAGCCCAGGGTTGTGATGCAGAGGCAGGCAATGGCATGATGATGGTGATGATGATGGTGGTGGTGGCCTTTTTCTGGGGGAATGGACCAGATCGGAGTTCTGGAACCTCTTTGAGAGCCAGTTTGGTGTAGTGGTTAAGTGCGTGGACTCTAATCTGGGAGAACCGGGTTTGATTCCCCACTCCTCCACTTGCACCTGCTGATGTGACCTTGGGTCAGTCACAAGCTCTGGCACAGCTGTCCTTGAAAAAGAGCAGTTTGTGTCAGAGCTCTCTCAGCCCCACCCACCTCACAGGGTGTCTGTTGTGGGGAGGGGAAGGGAAAGGAGTTTGTAAGCTGCTCTGAGACTCCTCTGGGTAGTGAAGGACGGGGTATAAATCCAATCTCTTCTTCTTCTTCTTTGACAAAATTCTTTTCAAAGTATTTAAAAGTCCATGAGTATTCAGTACATAGATTGAAAACTCCATTTCCCTCTTGAGAGTTCCGGCACCTCTTTTTCAAAACAAAAAAACCCCATCATCACCATCACCACCACCACCATCATCATCACCATCATCATATGACAGTGTGTGTGGTATAGCCAGGAGATCTGAAGATTGTCTGGCAGCCAGAATTTCTAGCTGTTTAGCATTATGCACCACTAGGTGGCGAGCTAGACATGTTTTAGGGCTGAGAGAGCTCAGAGAGAACTGTGACTAACCCACGGTCACCCAGCTGACTTCATGTGGAGGAGTGGGGAATCAAACCCAGTTCTTCAGATTAAAGTCTGTTGCTCTTAACCACTACACCAAACTGGCCCTCCGGCAATGGCAAACCACCTCTGAATACCTCTTGCCTTGAAAACCCTGCAGGGTTCCTTTTATCCGTTCTAACCCGAATGCTCAGCAATTTCATTGAGTGCCCACGAGTTCTTGTATTGTGAGAAAGGGAGAAAAGTACTTCTTTCTCATGTGTGAGTCTCACCTGTGATGCGGTGCATGTCCATGCTCTGGAAAGCGTAGCTTTATGCTGAAGTTGTACACAGTGCAAAGAAGTATGTGTGTGGAATTATCACATGTGCTAACCTGATTATGATGTGTGCATGATTTCCTACATGGAAGTGTATTTTATGTAAGAAACAAAGAGTGACATAGACACCTGTCTGTGTTAAATCGCCACCTACAGTGATGGAAGCAGCAGCACGGAGTTGTGTCCTCCCCACAATCCCCAGAGCCAAGTTGAATGCTAGGGCACACCCTGTCTCAAGGAGGCCACTAGAATCCCTCTCCAGGACTGTACTCCAGATCACTTCACGCAGGTTAGTTCCCCTTTTACATTGGAAGCATTTTGCCAGTAATGCTTATTGTGTAAAATAAAACAGCGCTCCAGGGGCCCCTTCAAATTGAACCACACTGAGAGCCGGTTTGGTGTAGTGGTTAAGAGCGGTGGACTCTAATCTGGAGAACTGGGTTTGATTCCCCACTCCTCCTCCACATGCAGCCAGCTGGGTGACTTTGGGTCAGTCACGCTCTTTCAGAGATCTCGCAGCTCTACCTACCTCACAGGTGTTTGTTGTGGGGAAAGGAAGGAAAGTTGATTGTAAGCCACTCTGAGCCTCCAAGTGAAGGGCGGGGTATAAATCCGACTCCTCCTCCTTCTTCCAGCACAAGCTTTCATGAATCAGAGGAGTCGTCGTCGTCGTCATCATCTTCTTCTTCTTCCAGCACAAGCATTCATGAATCAGAGGAGTCGTCGTCGTCGTCGTCGTCATCATCATCTTCTTCTTCCAGCACAAGCTTTCATGAGTCAGAGCTCACTTCTTCAGATGCACGGGAGTGTAAACCCGTCAGGCCCAACTGATACACGCAGAGTCCAGTTCGAAATGGAACCCAGTCCAAAACAGAGTAAGCATTAGTCAGCTCAGCACAGGAGTGAGACCCCTCCCGACTCTGGTTGTGTTAAGTGCTATCAAGTCACTTTTTACTCATGGCAACCCTAGGAATGAATGGCCTCCAAAACAGCCCATCGTTAACAGCCTTGCTCAGGTCTTGCAAAATGAAGGCCCTCGTGGCTTCCTTGATGCAGTCAGTCCATCTCAGGTTAGGTCTTCCTCTTTTCCTGCTGCCTTCAACTTTTCCTAGCATTATTGTCTTTTCCAGTGAGCAGGGGTCATTTCCTGCAGGAGCACACAGGAGCGGAGCTCCGGCAGTAAAGAGCCCAGGGGGCGGGCACATGCAACAAGCCCCACCCCCTGTTCCCAGCAGCCCTCAGTCAGAGCAAGAAGCAGCCAGGTAAGCAGCCAGGTAAGCTGCAGAGAAGGAGAGCCCACCACCTCCCAAGGAAGCCTGTTCCACTGAGGAACCACTCGAACTGTCAGGAAGTTCTTCCTAATGTTTAGCCGAAAACTCCTCTGATTTAATTTCAACCCGTTGGTTCTGGTCTGACCTTCTGGGGCAGCAGAAAACAACTCCACACCATCCTCTATATCATGGAAGGCACTTCTTTTATTACCACTGATAACATCATGATGACCAAAAGAAGCAAGACCAGCAAAATCTTTCCAGGGGGCATGGGCTATCGTTTGGGAAGGCCGTTAGCAGTGTCCCCTCTGAGCTGAGTTAGTGCGAGCTAGCTCACAGTTTTCTAGCCTCCGGCTCACACATTTTCCTCTCAGCTCAGGAAGGATGGCTCCAGAGCAAAGTAAATTATGCAGCAGCCAAATGGGCTCGCTCACAACGTTAAGGCCAGGAGCTCTCAAAGTAGAATTTTTGCTCACGAGACTCCACAGCTTAGAGGGAGCATTAGGTGTTTTAACCCACCGCATTCAGGCTGGTGGGCGAGTGTGAGCTTGCAGATCAAGCGGAGGCTGCCATCCCCTTTAGTGAGGGCGGTAGATTCTTCCCCTGATTGGGAATGAACAGGGATGCCGTCCTGAGGTAAGCGATGCTCACTTGTACTCTGCTGCCTCCCACCAGTCTGCTCTTTCTTTTCCCCCCTTCAAGCTAGAAGGCAGGTTGTTTTCTTTCACCATCCTTGTCTCTTTTTTTTCTTCTCCTTTCCAGGTGGCTTTTCCCCCAACGAACCAGCTGAGGGCAGCAGTTATGTAGGGAGAGAGTCCACAACCCCATGCCTCAGCCAAGGCTTATGAAGAGGGAGGGAGGGAGGTGGAGTGAGAGAGAGAGAGAGAGAGAGAAAAGCGAGCAACCAGCAGCAGAGAAGCGGATCTCTTCTCCTCCTTTTTCCTTCGCTTCCCTCCCCCTTTCCAGCTCCACCTCCTCCTCCTCCTCCAGCCCTTGTGTGGGACTCCATTTTCCCAGCCCCAAAGTCTCCAAGGAAGGGGCCGTGGGAGCGTACCTCCAAGATGGAATAGAACTGATTCTTTCTTCAAGGCGGCCCTGGTGTCGCTCATTGCCAAATTAGGATATACGTCTTTTGTGTGCGTTTGGGTCTGTGCGTGTGCGGACAATTTGCCTTGTGGTTTGCCAAGAATGGATGACCAAGGGAGGCTGATCCAAGCCAGGGGGGCAGTGGGGCTCACAGGCCACCCCCCAGTCCAAGGAGTCCAGACCATGACCCCCCACTCTCTCCACGAGCCCCCCTCGGATAACGGCGAGCCTCGGAAGCAAGACATCGGCGACATCCTCCAACAGATCATGACCATCACCGACCAAAGCTTGGACGAGGCGCAGGCAAAGTTGGTTACCCTTTTCCGTTCTCGGATGGCCTGGGCTTTGTGGGGTGGTGGTGGAAAGTTTGGGTGGAAGGATTCCCCTTTGTGCGGGCATGGGGCAGGCTGGCACGAAACACGGGCAAAGCGGGGCTTAGTTGACGGAATTGCAATCCAGGCGGCGTGGGATGCGTTTAGTGGGGTTTCCACCAGATTCTAATTTTGTGATATGAAATACAGGGGGCGGAGGGGGGGGCAGGGAATGGATGCCCAATGAGGGTTTCTGGTGGAGAGTCGGAAATTGAGAGTTGTGGGATGAACTGATGGAGATAAGCATTGTGGGCTGAGTGATCAGGGTATCCTTGAAAGTCTAGATTCTTGGCACCATATTTCATAGTGTTTGGGAAATGGAAAATGAAGAGCTAGGGGGAAATAAAGGGTCTTTCCCCCCCCCCCTTGTGGGAATGGTGGGGAGGAAGGTGAGACTGGTCTGAGAGTGGGATCGCTTGTAGGGGAACTTTACTGGAGACTTCGAAAGATAGCCAGAGGCCTGGATACAGATGAGCAAGTATTAAAGTTTGAGTTCGTGTCTTTCAAGGCAAGAGAGATAAATGGGGATTATTCTTGATTAGGGAGTGGAATTCACTTTTTTTTGGGGGGGGAATAAAGTTTTGATTGGTTTGTAGGGCCATCGAGCCTCTCTGACCTGGGATTTAGAACAGAAATGAAAGCATAATTTGGACACTGCCTGAATATAGGGAATAAAAGTTTTCCTTGGGGTTACTGACCAGTATGGGGCATGCAGGCATTGGTTGACGATTTGGGGGAAGGGATTGGGGGTTGGGAATATCCGGCATGGAATTATGGAGCTATACTGGGAATAGCTTTCCAGATTGGCAGCTCCTAGTTATTCCCGATTTTCACATCTTTTGCTTAAACCTCTGGACCCCACTTCAAGAAAATGTAGGAGTCAAACTTGCCACGAACTTGCTCTGCTCTCTCACCACTGTTGTTTCAGAAGTACCAAAAGCCCCCAACATGATTGAATTACAGGGTATTGGTGATTGGCTTATATATTAGTATATTATATATTGGTGATTGGCTTATATATTAGTAATAATATTTGGTGAGGGTCACCAAATAGTATTACCAATATATAAGCCAATCACCAAATACTAGCACCAATACCCTATAATTCAATCATATTTGAGACTTCTGGTAGCTCTGAAACAAAAGTGGATGATATATAAGTGGGGACAGAAGAGATGTGCAAAAGTTGTGAATTTTTTTTTTAGCTTCTTTGTGCAGTGTTTGGGGGAAAATTGGATTATTTCTTTCATCTTTACATTGGGGGAGGAGGATCTTTCCTCAGCTGCCTTGTTTCAAGATACCCGTTTGCCAGAGCAGGTGGTCTGTGTGTGTGGTTTTTGGCGTGTGAGAATTGTCGAGGCTGTGTCATGTGGGGGTTTATTAGATAGAACTGTGGTTCATCTCAAAAGGCCTGTTTCGTTTCCCTGGAAGGTGTTTCCACTTGGGAACTGTCACTTGTGTGTAGGTGTGTTAAGACATAGTTTATGCTTCTGTTAACTATTGTGAAGGAAAATGGGTGTTTTTATTTTTTGAAAGGTTTTCTCAAGGGTATCTTTTTTCCTGAGACCCGCGTGGCTGTGTGTATAAAATCTAACGTGAGGTGAATGGTTAAGTTGGGTATCACAGCATATGGAGAGGTTTGGTAATGATTCCATGGGCAGTGAAAGCTGAGGGGTTGTAAACAGAAAAGGGGTTCTTCATACGGTATTTCAGCAAGAACTAGGAAAGTTGTGTTTCAGTGTAGATGGATGTGGAAGCTTTGCCCTTTTTTGGCGATCTGAAAATTAGGTGCTCTGTTTGGTGGCTCGGGAAGATTAACTATTCGGGGTTGTTTTCACTGAAAGTTGTGTTTACGTATCAGTTGTTGGCCTAGTGTTGAGGGCTTTAATTCCATTTGGGGATGGTTTCGGTTCTGCATCCAGTGTTTTTTTGGTTACTCTTTAAAAAAATTGGGGTGAATTGTGTAACTATATTGGGGGCCCTTAACAGTTTAATGATGAATGCAATTGGGGAATCAAAAAATGAAAATATTTTAAAAAGAAATGTATGCTGAAATTACAACACGTAGATAAGAGGTTAATGAAAAAGAGGGAAAAAATCTTGTTTGCTTTTTTGTTGGTTTGGTTTATGTGGCTTATTCTGGTAAAGTGTACACAGAGCCCATTCCTTTTTTAAAAAATTAGCTCCCTTTTGTCTCCCTCCCCAAACTTGGAACAAAGTTTGTGCATTTTGCTATACCAGAAGATTCTCCACTGTTTTTGAGAAGTCATTCACCAAACTGAAGGGAATGCATGGTTTTAATCGTTGTTCCTGTCCAGACACTGGACTCACATTGGGAATTACTGAGAATGGATTGAGGATTCCATTATTTGTGTGAATAAAAAGGGATTGATTTATTCACTAGGCCTCGGCCTCGGAACAGATAATAATTTAAAAAAACAACAACACTGGATCCTCTAAACTTTCCCCAGAAACCGTTGGCTTTATCTGTTCTCTCTTCCACTGTTTAAACTGCAGGAAACACGCTCTGAATTGCCATCGAATGAAACCTGCCCTGTTCACCGTGCTCTGTGAAATCAAAGAAAAAACAGGTATTGTTTGGGCCACGGTTGAGGGGGGTGATCGTTTCGTGGTTTGCCTTTTCTTCAATATTTCAATCTATTAGAGAATCACCTAAAGGAGGGGAGGAAAGGAAGAGGAAAGGAAGGGGATTGGGAGAGCTGGGGGGAGGAGGGAGGGAGGGGGAGAGAGAGAAGAGCCGGTGTTTCTCCTCAAGAGGTTTTGCCAGAGGCCTGTCGTCTCCGCGCCATCTTGAAGCGTCTGGAATTTCTTTTTTCTGCCTGCCCTATTTTCTTTGTAGCTGCTGCTTCGCCCTCCTTCTTTCTCTCTCTTTCTTCCCACACGGGCTTTTATTTTACTGCCATGACCCTCTGTCTTGTGTTCAGGCCACCCCACTTGGGGAAGGTCGCCAGAAGTCTCTGGTAGCACCTGGATCTTTTGTCCATGAGAATAATCAGCCCCCCCCCCCTGTTGTTTTGAAATGAACTCCACACCGCCTCTCCTTCCTTCGCTGCACAGTTTCCAAAATTTCCCTCTTTTGCTTTAGGATGTTTCCCTGGGGCCGGTTGGAGTCCATCTTCCTTGCGGAGTGTCCCCCACTGTGGGCTGTGCAAAGAGATGGGGGGGGGATTTTTCTATATATGCATGTGCTTGAGGTGGAATTCCACTGTTTCTCTTGCTCCTTGAATTTGCATTCTGCCTGGATTAAAAAGTGAAAGAGCAGCACCCTGGCCACGGGGCCTAAACGGATTACTGAAAAGGAGAGTGAGGAGGTGTCTCAGTTATTTTGCTGCTGCTGCTGTGGTCGCTGTTGTCAAAAGTTCATTTTGTCTAAGCTGCCAAATTTGGACCATGTATATCTCAAGCGGCGCGCAGCTGTTTTAAGGCTCCAACCCTGGACACAGTTAAGGCTGCCATTTTAAGGACACTTTTGCAGAAGTAAGCCTTACTTCCAAGTAGACCTGCTTAGGATTGCTCCATAAGCTGCTTAAAAAAAAACCCCTAAAGTCAAATGGAGTTAGGAAGCTTAAATGCGTGTAGTCTAAACAGGGAGGCAGTATATACATTTTAGCGGTACGGCTATGACAGGTGTTGTGTAAAGTCACCAGTCTCTGCACCTAGTGAGTTAGGACGTGGGAGCGGATCACAGCCTGATTTGAAGTATGTTACACAAACAGTAACAGTGCCATTTCGTTTTGTGATTGTTGTTTAAGAGGGTTTTTTTTGGGGGGGGGCTCTTGAGGCAAAAGATAGGGAGAGGAGGAGAAAGTGTAAGAGAGAGAGAGGGGGGTGAGATAGATAAACTTCAGCAGTGAGTGACAGGTTGCAGGATAGGATTAACAGTGGGTCTTGAGACTGAAGAGTCTATTGTTGTGAATTCTGTCTCTGTATTAGTGAACACTGCCTCTCTTGCTATGCTAAATTTATCACCAGTGAGTACTAGCTAGGAATAGTCCATTCTAATTTTTATCTGGCCTGCATCTGGACTCTGCATTTGTCGAAATGTGAGACACCTACCAGGGCCCCATGCTTTTCATGGTCTTTAGGCCCCCTGGTTTACATGTTCCCCTCACCTCTTTTCTCCTATGTGTGTGGGGTGGTGGTATTTGGTCTATTTAGGATACCCTGTCACGTGGGCTGCTTGTATATCACAATAAATGTGTTAGTTTTTCAGGTGCCACAGAACCCTTTGCAGCTCCTGTACATTTTCATGCTACAAAAATAAAGCATGGAGATTGTGTGCGTGTGTATGTGTGGGTAGTGGTTAAGAGCAGCAGACTCTAATCTAGAGAAATGGTTTTGATTCCCCATTCCTCCATATGCAGCTGCTGGTGTGACCTTGGGTCAGTCACAGTTCTCTCAGAGCTGTTCTCTCAAGAGCAGTTCTCAAAAGAGCTCTCTCAGCCCCACCCACCTCACAGGGTGTCTGTTTTGGGGAGGGGAATGGAAAGAGATTGTGAGCCGCTCTGAGACGCCGAGTGAACGGTGGGGTATAAATCCAGTCTCTTCTTCCTCTCTTTTTCTTCTTCTGTTGGGGGGAGCTAGTGATTTTAAACACAACCTGTACAGCAGTCGTGCCTTTTCCCCCCTTTAAGGGACTGTGCTACAAAAGGACAACTCCATAATATGTCTGGTTACCAGGGGTCTAAATGGAAGTCACCTTCACCTGTTACAAAAAGGATCTACCATTGTAGGTAACACTCAAAATGCAGATTGTCACATGTAAAAATTTCATGAACATTTCTCTTTTTTGCCATGTTTATATGTGGCGAACAAATCCTGGGAAACCCACAGCAAATCTCCCCCCAAACAAATGCCACATGTGCAATGGCATGTGCTACCAGGGGACATATTTCCTATAAGGAAGGCCTGTCGTATGCAGCAGCCATCTGCCAAACATAGGTTTTGTGTTATTTCCAGATCAGATTCTCACATATGTGCCTAAATGCATTTTTATGCGCAAGTGGTGATTTCTTTCCTTTTGGCAGATAAAATTGCTCGCATCTGTTCTGACTTGAGGCTGTTCTCTTGAATCAGAGGTTGTGGGTGAAGTATTGAGTTCTTCTAAGGTTTTATTGCTGTCGTGGACGCCTTAAGGTGTGGGCATGGTGCTTAGGCTGGACATCATGTCCTGGACCTCTCTGCCCATCTTGGTGAGCTTGTTGGTGTTGATTGGGAGCGGCTGGTGGCCTGGATCCAAGGGATGGGGGTATATGCTTCCTTGAAGATTGGAAGAGTCTCTACTGAATAAGCCTGTCTTGGATCCCTTTAAGTACATTGGGCCAGTTTCCAGCGTCTCCTTCTTAGCCAAGGTAGTGGAGCAGGTTATGTCTGGACAACTCCAGATTCTTCTGGATGAAATGCCGTTTTCTAAATCCAGTTCAGTCTGGATTCTATCCAAGCTTTGGGAGTGAGACTGTTTTGGTAACCATGGTGAATGATATTGAGAGAGAGAGAGAGAGAGAGAGAGAGAGAGAGAGAGAGAGAGATCCACCCTGTTGGTGGACCTCCTGATGGCACCTGAGTTTTGACCACTGTGTGACACTGAGTGTTGGCGCCATTGGCCTGATCCAACATGGCTTCTCTTATGTTCTTAATATGAAGGAGTGTGTTACCCTGTTGACTATCTGAATTCTTTTCTGGATGTAGATACTATCAACCACAGTACGTTCTGGATCAACTGTGAGACTTAGGAATCCTCTGTTTAGTGCTCGCACTCTTCTTGCATGCAGATCTCCAAAAACGGTGCTAAAGCATTGAATTAGATTAGATTAAATTAGGGAATCTCAAAGACTCTTTGGCAATTGTTGAACCACTAATTTCCCTTCTCTCTCTCATACTAGTTAGCATCTACATGAAACCCGCTAGAAGAAATTGTCTGAGGAGGACATGGGATGAGCTGTCACTGATAGGCTGGTGGCACTCAGCTGTATTTCTAGTTTTCAACAGATCCAGGTTAGAATTCTGACAGTGTAATCCTACACAGAGCTATTCCAATCCGCCTTCAATAGAAGTTAATGGGTGTAGACCGGAGTAACACTGCATAGGATCAGGGGTCATTTCCTGCGGGAGCGCACAGGAGCAGAGCTCCGGCAGTAAGGAGCCCAGGGGGCGGGCACATGCAACAAGCCCCACCCCCTGCTCCCAGCAGCCCTCAGTCGGGCCATGAGGAGCAAGAAGCAGCCAGGTAAGTTGCAGAGCCCCCCCCCCGCCTTCAGGTACAAGCTCTCCCTCCTCTGTGAGGGCAGATCTGCATGTCCCCCCCCCCAATAGCTAGCAATCCAAAACAGTCCAGTGGAGCCTGAGCGGTGGGTGTTGCCTTCTGATACACTTCCAGTCAGGGTGTGTGGCATATGCAAATAAGTTATGCTAATAAGTTATGCTAATGAGCTCCTGCAGCTCTTTTTCTACAAAATGACCCCTGCATAGGATTTTTCTGTGAATAGATGCAAAACAATGGTCTTTATGGTGTGAGCCCAAAAGGACCCAGGAAAAAAGGTGTAGATTTACCAATCTTGAGCAGGGACACATTCCTCCCAAAAGGTCTGTGACTTGGATGTGTTCCAACAGTTAGCATGTTAGCAGCTGTGGCCAGGGAATATGTTTGATCATTCTCAGCTGGTGTGCCAGCTGTGCCCTTTACGGTATAGCAAAGACCTTGCTACGTGTATGCATGTCTTGATAGCTTCTTGACTTGGCTACTATAGTGTACTGTATGTGGGGGTTGCCCTTGGAGGCAGCCCGGAATATACGGCCGATCCCAAAAGTGGTGACTCATTTGAAATCCAGGGCCATATGCTGGGAGGATCTCAGTTTTACAAGAGGTCCTTTTGTTCCCAGTTGTTTTTCTTTTTCCTTTCTCAAATTCAACATGGTGTTCTTGACTATTGAAGCCCTAAAAGTTGCGGAACTAAGACATATGAGGAAATTATTTCTCCCTTGTAAAACTACCCCCGCCCCTCAAGAACTAACACAGTTGGACTCTACTGTGGGTCCCACCCAATGGCATGGAGGCCAAACTATCCCCTCCCAGGAACATTGCATTCTGGGTGGTGGCTCCCGCCTTGTAGAATCCCCTCCCAAGTGAAACCCACCAGATCCTCACCCTTGGACATTTTAGAAGGCCAGAGAATGCTTTCCTATTAGGCTAGGCTTCATGTGGGAGGGAAGGCGTCATGGTATAGCCTGATCTCAGAAGCTAAGCAAGGCTGGTATTTGGATCGGGGGCCGCCAAAGAAGGCTCCGCAGAGGAAGGCCATGGCAAACCACCTCTGCTTCTCATTTGCCTTGAAAGCCCCTTGCCAGGGGTCTCCATTAGTCAGCTGTGATTGGACAGCACTTTACACTTCACAGTGCTCGAGGGGCTGTTTTGGCTTTGCTTGTTTGCTCTTCTCCTGTTGGTTTCTACGTTCTGTGGATCACATGTTCTGGAGTACATTTGAGGGGCCCATTTGGGTGGGAAGGCAGGCTGAAATGTTTTTGAAATGAAATGAATAGATACCTCGATCTGTTTTAGTTCTGCCACAGCCTA